CCCAAAGCATTTCTCTTTCTGCAACTGAGAAGCAGAAATACACACACGCATTCTCACCACATTTACCCAGTACTCTTTGCAACGTGTCCCGAATATTCTCCTTGTGAGGGAGACAAAGATGGGGAGAGGCAGACTAATGTGACCACATCCAACCACTAACTGAGTCGATGACTCTTTCGTCAGTAGTTATCATTCGCACACTGGTAAACTCTGCACATCTGAGTCTCCCTCTTCGGGCGCCTGGTTACTTGGGCTAGTAAGCCCAGTGATAATGTGATGCAAAACTAAACACGACTGGCCAACTTTCCCTACCCTATATCTCTTAATTGCTTTGGTTATAAAGTACGGGATACTTATTTCTTCACATCCCCAATCCTAACACACATCAAAACCACACTGACCAGTGACATGGCCTGGAGAAGTCTTGAGAGACTTTTATTTATTTCCCATCCCTTTCTGTGGGCTTCTTTCACTTATGTGTTTACCTGTTTGCTTTTTCAGGGGAGGGGGAGGAACGGGGGGGGGTGTGAGCCAAAATAGTGACTTCATTAAACATCTGCTGGGTCTTCGAAGACTCAGTAAATATTGAACAAACTCCCTGGAGCTCTGGTGCTGCTGCCGACGATGGGCAGCAAGCCCCAACTTGCATGAGCAGTCTTGTTTGGATCTCTGCACATGTTTGCTTTCTACTGGTTCAGACTCACCTTGGAACAGAGCTGGGTCTGTTAAGTCTGAAACCTTCCTTTTGGTATTCTATAGGACATAGGGCATTAGGAAGTGGCCCAATGTTTTTGCTCATGCTAAAGTCACTTAGTGACACTCAGCAGCCTTCTTCCAATCCTAAGAAGTGTTTTTTCTTTTCCTCTTTTTTTTTTTAATCTCTTTTCAAATTTTCCCAAATCAGTAGACCAAGCCCTCAGGGCCTAGTTTTTCCCAGTTAGTAACTTCCTAACTCAGTCCTCTCCTTTCATAGAGAGTGTCAGGACGCGACCAAGATAGTGCTGATCACCAAGCAGAGATTGGTACTTAAGCCCCATTCTGGATGTATATGTGAAGAGTGGATTTGGCTCCTATTTTTAAGGTAAAGGAAGAAGTTGGAATCTAAATAAATATACTTTAGCTCTGAGTTTCGGCAATATCATTTAAAAAAAAAAAAGCTCCTGGAATTAAAAGCCTCATTGTCAACCCCCACACTAAGAGACATGATATTGGGCATGTTCGGAAAAGCTCTAAATGCTGGTAAATGTTTTCATTAAACCTTCCGTGGGACAGAAGTCTGTGATGGCCATGTGATTCTAATTAAGCTTATTTTCTTAGGCATCAGTCAGAGAGGTCAGGTGGAACAAATGTCCAGGTTCATCCTCTTATAATTTACATAATGGGAAGTCCTATAAATCAGTAAATTCCTCTTGCTATTGACCTAGCCCAAAGGGCATGCTGAGGGCACCTTGTAATCCACCTGGGAATTTTCCCAGAGGGATAGATGCTGTCTTTAGCCTGCCATTTGGTATTTTATACAGCAAGGCAGCACCCACATGTGACCTTACCATATTTCATAACTTTTATCCAAGAATCCAAATAGTGAAGTACACTCAGTCAAAATGAAAGACAATATGCTTTTCTTCTTTCCTTGATGAGAGATAAAGCATATCCTGGTTAATGGGGGAATAATTTAACTATACAGATTACTTAGAAGTTGATATTACCAAAAATCAGGGACACATTCTACAAATGAGATGAAAACACAGGACCGGAGATCCAAAAATGTGCACACAAAGTCACATGAGTTAAATGCCTGTCACTTAGCTACACAAAGCTAGAAAAGTTACTAGTCCGCCCCTAAGGAGATCAGTTACATTTTAATAGCTTTATGAAACACTTCTACGTTACTGTTCAGGCGTTTCATTCATACCCATTCAAGAAAGTCATTGGCGATTCCACTAGTATTTTCTGTAAGAAATAAAATTAAGTAAGCTTTGAATAGTTCCAAGACATAAATCTTTCAAACAATAAATGTTTGAGCAAATCCAGATGCTGTGATAGTATCTAAAATTCTTGGAAACCATTTCAATAACAGACAAGCTAATTCAGCTTAAAAGGCTAAACTGATAGCGCCATGTAAACACAGTCTATCAGGGGAACATGTTCAGGAACTAAGAAGAACTCGGAGTTATATATATAACATACACACACACACACACACACACACACACACACACACACATATATATATAATCTTTCCTTTGTGAAAATAAGAACTACAATTCTTCAAAGGAACATACTTTATAAAAAAAAATGATAGGGGTGGGCACTGAAAAATCTCATAATTTCTCTGAGCATATCAGCTAAACATTGATTTTCCTCTACCTCAAATAATGAGTTCTTGTTAATTTCATAAAAGACACATCACAGAAAATCATAAAAATTTATGTTGACATAAATAGGTTACATAGTTACAGGCTTATAACCCTGATAACACTAAGACAGTCTACATATTTGTAGGATTCCTGAGCTTCGCGCATTCGCTTCCTCCATGGGCCTTTCCACAGTCTTTCTTCCAGAAACTCTTGCATATTCTATTGAACGTATCTTCCTCCCTGATAGTCAGCCTTTGTCTTTGTATATTTCCTCCCTCTGCTTCATTTCTCTATTAGACTCTCCTCAGGGAGAAGAATTGTCTGCACACATACATGACTTTCTCGTTCCTTAAAAATATAGCCCAACTGGGTGATTTTCCCATCATCCTGTTCCCCAGACGATTAGCACTGCCTTAGCCAAATCTCATCCCCCCACCAGCTTCTCTGACATCCTGTTACATTATCGTACATGTAGAACAAAGGGGACGTTTAAGGACAACAGTGTGAGTGTGCTGCAACCAACTTTTTTATTTTACGGCTCTGGGCTTCCAAGTAAATGTCAACACCGTTTTGAAGATAATCAACAGGGGCCACTGATAAGCCTTGACTATAGAGTGCAACATTTGAGGAATATGAAATAATTTATTCTCAATATGATTTTCCAGCAATACATTAGATAACATCACAGGTTTGAAATTTGCTTTGTTTTTATGTGTTGTGTTTTTATAGAATTTAAAATTTAAAGTACTGGAAAGCTTAGATGTTGCCGTAAAAAAAAATATCAGTCACAATGGAGCTTAATATCTATACAATATTCCAGCTACTGTACATGACTGTTATGTTGCTCCCATTTAAAAAAAACAAAAAGACAAACTTTTGGTTCTTGCACACTCAGTTCCCACATTTTTTCTCATTTCAGGCAACTAGTTTAAGAAAGTGTTTTCAACTTTAGATGATCATTTTCTATTAGTTATATTTTTATGCAATTATTAATGGAATGGACAAAAGAACCCTTGATTGTATCTTTAAATACAACCATATATTATGATTTGATAGTATCCTCAAATTTACAAAAAGAAATTATAATACAAAATTGGTTGGTCTATTATTTTGAGGGCTATGATTTTTAGCTATTACTTATACGTAACATTATAGTATCTATTTTAAAAGTAACTATAATATATATGTTAAACTAGCATTATAGTAATGTAATATAGGAACCTTAGATTCCTAAACCTCAGCTAATGAGACTAAAGAAAGATCCAAGTTCAGATACAAATGTCAGTGGAAATCCCATGACACCAGTGGTTGCCTTCCATCAAAGCCTTCAAGATTACTGAGAATTATCTCAAACTAACTTCTTCTATTTTGCAACTAAAGAAAGCGTGTTTGTACTTGTCATTCATGATAGTTCACCTACTTTGGGAGAAAAACAAGGTTGTAGCTGAATGGACAAGGCACTTGCCTTCCACAGCAGCTGAGAATATGAATATGAATATATATATTCTTCAGCTCAGCATCCAGAGTAGACACTGAGATTAGGAGTGAGTGGGGCACACAGTAGTTACAGGGATGGAGAGGAACCGACCAGCACCATCACACTCACTGTTTTTTCTTTTAATAAGTTATCATGGGGCAGTAACTCCCTGAAAATATACATAACACATACGTGTTTCAAAAGTAATTGTTTCCACAAAAAAACCTTTATAAATATAAATATATAAGGGTTTTTTTTTTCTTTTTCAATCTCCCTTTCCCCCTCAATCTAGGAGCATAGGATGAATACGTTGTGTTTACATGTGTATTCTCCATGTTACTTTTAGCTGGGCTGCCTCTTTTTCTGGCCTTGTGTATGTTTCTATACTTCTGTGGCTAAAAAAATCAGTCCTACTTCAGCTTTGAGTCACACTTTATTAATTTTCCTAAATCTCTCTACCTTCTCTTTTCTAGCTTCTCAATTTAATTTTTTTCAACTAGAGCTTTCTCTTCCTGCCTAGAAAGTAACCTTCAGATTTCAGATGATCATTCTAACCCTCCAAGTTGAGGGATCATTCTTGGTACCTACACATCTGTGAGTTCTGGGATATGCAGACTGACATAGAAAGCACTGCATGACTAGAAACGGGAACATCAGAAATGACTCTAACACGTTGAACACCAAGGTCCTGACTGCATAGACTCGATATAACTAAATGTTTGGGAATTTTCCAGGCAGGCTCTATCCACGCTGAACAAAGCCAAGGCTATACCCTTTATCTTAACATAGACAGTAGCTTCCCTAACATAGCTATTATTCGGTTAAGTCTTTTGTTCTGGTCCCAAAGCATGAGCATGCATCTGCTGCATCACTTCTTTCTCAAGGCAGAATAAACGCATGCTGAATCAGGGTTTCTTCCCCTCCATCTTGGGATCTTTCACTCAGAGCTGTTCACTAAGAAGAGAGGTGACAGGGCTACTACTTAGCCCAATGCCATTTGAGTGGTGAAAGAAGTATTGATATGTTAGATGCTTATGTTCTTCCAACAGGTACATTCCTGTCTTTCAGTAAGGCAACAAGACTCAGTTGAAATATAGATTCACTTCTTAATTGCCTTGCCTTTATGTAATTCCCTTAAAGCAATACGCTCTGTTACAATCGTACCTTTAACCAGCTAATCTAGGTTTCATCTCTTGCTGAAATTCTTCTCTAGCCAACGCCGGACTTCTTGAAGGTTGTAGTGGAAGGGGCCCTTTCCTCCCAGATAAGCAATTTTCTGTCTCTGCACAATGCACACACGTTCAAAGGCTACCCCATAAGCTACGTTGGCGTTATTGTCCATGCGGTCAGCCACTACTCTGCACTGGGGCGGCAAGGAGAACCGCTCCAGGAGCTGCTGGGCAGCTGCACATCGATCTTCCTGGTTCCGGTGCTTCTTCACCTCAAAAGACAAAGAGGAGTCCCCAGGCACCGCCCAGCCATCTGACGGATGAGCCTCATCAATGTAGACCAGCAGGAAGTCGGCCACGGATGAGAACTCTTCCACCAGTTTGCTGAAGGCTGGCAGCTGGCTCGTGAAAGGAGGTCAAGTAGCTGAGCCGAAGTTGACCACCAGCGGGCGCTCCGGGCTGGCAAAGTCAAGAAGGTGGCATTCGGTTCCCTCGGCTGTCTTCTCCTGGACACCGTTTCCCCCACTGTTACCTGCTTCGGGACTGGAGACGTGCACCACACTGGAATTGGGGGCATCTTCACCCAGTTTCACCTGGTGGTTAAAATAAACGAGAGGGGGAAGGGGAGGAGGAGGA